CAGTTAGGCTAGAAGGCAAATAATATTCATACTAATACTGTTCGATATTATTAATTAATTATGAAATTCTTAAGACTGCTACTAAATCGCAAAGTAGTGATCAATATATCTAACCAATAATTTAGAACATAATAAAGCTTCTTGAATTAGGCGCCTCTTTAGTTAAGCTGTTATCTTTTTAAATTATTAGCAAGTACGATCTTCTAGCCAAATCTCGTATTTTTCCATACAATTTATTACTAAAAATAATATATATCCATATATCCTGTCACTGGTGTTAAAATTATGTGCTAATAATGACGCCTCTCAATGACGATGCCGGCGAAACGTTTGGGAATGTACCCAATCAATGGTCCGAAGTCGGAAATTGCGAATACTATGGCAGAGGTCAGAGGACTAGGTACGTTCCACAAGTTATCCCTGACGCTCCAACCAAGTTGCGAAAGCAAAGTGGAACGAACACTATAAAGCTAAAGAAGATTGCGGCCAAGCATATCTACCAACATTTATCCAGTTCACTGAATGATTCATCCATATTGTTATCAGTATTTCTTATTGAGATAGCCTAGTGTTGAGATAGTATTATTTCTATAGCCTATGTATCAATGCCCACTAGAATGTTACTGTACATTGGTACTATATCAAAGCTTGCAAGCAACTTCCAACTTTCTATCCCCTCTTCATTTAACAAACTTACTGAACTCATAAAAATTCCTTATTAGAACCTGCAAACCTCGAGGTATGCCGAACGCATGGAATATGATTGCTGACAGAGTTATTGCTTAGCCTCTCTTTCCAATTTTCACATTTTTTCTACATTATAGTCGTCTCAAGATATCCACTTTATCTAAAGTTATCTTTGCTGTTACTTTAACGACGCCCTATCGTACAGGAGAGTGAGATGTCTCTCGAAGAGCTTTTAGCTAACTACGGTCTTCAGGCGCCAACTAGCAGAGGTTCAAGTCCCAGTGGTTGCGCCTCTGGTGGGCGATCAACTCGCGGACGCCGCTCATTAGGTACGGAATCGCCACTCAACAATGTTGATCAGAACCAAACTTTGCGCAAGGCTGCTAAGCGATCAGTCGAACCGGCCGTTCAAACAACCCCTCTTAATACCGGCCTTGTTGCTGTTACTGTTGGCGAATTGTGTCAACCTTCTTCACCTCGACGTAGGCGTACAGAATCATCGACTGGCACTAAGCCTGATGATTCAACACGACAGTTGGATTTGGTAAGCGTATACATAAAATAATTATGCATTTATAAGATGTATCCGTTATTCAACAAATAATTAAGTTTTAATCAAATGCTGGCAAATATATTCTATTGTTATGTTAGCTAATAAATAAGGTGATGTCCGTAGATGCATTTTCGAGTATCTCTTAAATCTCTATCAATAGGAAATTATGTTTTATCTTTCTAAATATATTGGTGTAAGAATCTAGTATACGAGTTTTGTTCACTCCATTTAAATTAATGTAATGAAGGACTGGTACTTCAATTTTCCCACAATGATATATGTAGATTTGATATTTTTCATTGTATTTCACACAGACATGCTATCCAACGGTGTCCTCATTTCGGGTGGACTGCATTTTCGACCTCGACTATGTCTTAGCATAATCCGATACGGGAGTCGAACCATTATAGTGCTGTGTGTAATCTTGAAGCGTTAACCCCTACGTCACATTGCCACGAATACTATTGGATCACAGGGTTAATGGGAATTTTAATTTATGTCAGGCAATTTCCATATAACATTCTGTGTTTGTATTTTTAATGAATCAAACTTATATTTGCAATATAAGTCGACGACTACTTTTTTCGTGATATAGTTAGTATTGAGACTACAAGTAAATTAGATTTTTATTTTGTTAACCCTATTTCGTTTGAGGGAATAAAGGACTGGTGCTTAAATTTAATCGCAATGAATTATGGAGATATGAAGACCAAGATGGTGAGGCCTTTTGTGTGGTCGCAGTCTCTTTTCGTTGTATATAGGTTGTTTGACCTTGTTTTCGCAACATGGTCATATTGGTTGGAAGACTTAAAGAAACGCACCTAGTCCGGAGTCCATTGTCTGCATGATCATTTCCAAAGTTGAACCGTG